GTCTGTGTGTGTGTGTGTGTGTGTGTGTGTTAGTTGCTGCAAGTTCAAGGTGGGGATTTGTGGGAAAACTGAGCAGAAAGGAAGTTTCAAGTCTCTGTATTTATGATGACAAACCAAAAATAAAATTAAAAAATACAGTTATTCTAAATTATATAAATATTACTATACTGTATATCTGCCTGAAGGTCTGGGTTGGAAAACGGAGAAGGAAAGGAAGTTTCAAGTCTCTGTATTGGTGATAAGGGGAATTGTAGCAGACATTAAATGACATGACATAAAATAAAAAAAATGATTAATTATCAATAATTCGATCAGTGATGAGTTGATGAGAATTGGTGGCAGAGAAATGAAATTAAATGAAATAAAATAATAAATATTACTATAATATAAATGCAAAATATAAAAAACTAATCTAATATGTATATTGTAGTATATATTACTGTAAAATTAAAATAAAAACTAGTGGTGGAATAAGGGTTGTAGTCTAACTGTCCTTGGTTCCCATAGTCATAGGTCTGCCCCCAGTGTTGACATAATGACAGAGCATGGTAATAACATACCACTATTTTTACAATATTTATATAATTTATATGCAGTATTTATTGTACTGAATAATAACCATATTGCTAAACCATGTTTGTTTATATATATATATATATATATATATATACTCTAAAAAATGCTTAACTTTGCTTAACTTTGGGTCAAAAATGGTCTAACCCAACTTTTGGGTTAAAAATTTCATTTAAAAAATTTAACCCAACGGTTGGGTTAGACCATTTTTGACCCAAAGTTGGGTTGAAACAACCCAGCATTTTTTAGTGTATAATATAAACACATGCCAACACACATACTTTTATTATGTAATAGTATTCCATTCTAAAGCTAAAATCAGCTGTTGTAATAAAAAAAAAAGCTGTAATAAAATAAATTATATAGTTGTATTAGATTGAATAGTTAGATTCTTGCTTTGTCAATCAACTGAAATTAAAATCATTTTAAGTTGAAGTACTGAAATTACTAAAACTGAAATAAAAAAATAAAGCTAAATAAAAATATTTAAAAAAAATTACAAAATCACATAAAATTAAAGCTTAAATTAAAATCGAAATGAAAACTGAAAATATGGAAGGTTAATCAAAATAATAATAAATACTGTGATAGTATATAAATTACACTGTTCTCAACACGGTCAGAATTTTGCTAATTCTAATTATTTCATGTATCTCTGTATTTCAATGTTGTGTGCACGTTACAACCAGGGTGCGAACTACGGGGGAGCCCCTTAATAAGACATGGGCTCCCCTGAAAATGTGATTTGTAAAATTTTGGGGGGTCTCAAAAAATATTGACAATGTGTTATTTTGACATGCAATTTCAGTTTTGTGTAATGTGATCATCGTGGATTATTATGTGTAAAATTGCAAAAATATCATTCATACATGCATGACGGCGATTTAAACCTAATTCACTTCAATAAAGATAACTATACATGCTATTCTTGTCATGAGCATCAAGGTGTGGGGGCACATTCCACTCATGTTTAGTACATGTTAACTCAAAGATTCGTAGAAAAAATATAAACGTTGGACTCTGTGGTCGATTCTGTGTTAAGCTAAGGCATGTTATTCGCAATTATGTGTTGTGGCTGGGTTGTTTGAACGGAGGAATTATGGTATTCTTCTGTAGCCTGACGACGAGTAACTTTAATTGTTTTTTATGTGAACTGAAAGATGCTTTGTTTATAGACTATTTGTGGGTGGGTTTGTTGTTTCACCTATCAATTCATGTGGATAAAGTATAATAGGGTAAATCCTGTATAGGGATTTCACCTATATAGCACTTGCATAAAGCAAGTAGTGCATACACTTGTAGCTGTTATGTATCTTTGTAAGTCATTGCACGTGCACAAACCCCAACCCCCCCTTTATAAAAAAAAACAAACAAGTGGGCTCCCCCAAAGTCCACGGTATAGTTCAAACACTGGTTACAACCACTGCGTGTTGTGGCTTGTCTGACTAAATCTTTACCATCATCCTGTCAGAAATATATTATAATTTTTTGGGATGTTCTAGTAATACTAGAGGAACTCAAGGCTCAGTCTTGAATAATACATCTTCTTTCTCTTTTTCTCTCCTCAGAGCTCAACATGGAGTACAATCCTGCGGACCACCCGCGTGCCAGCACCATATTTCTCAGCAAGTCTCAAAAGTGGCAATTTGGAGTAAAGCAATTTTTCGTTTTTAGTTAGTTTGAATGTTCCCTCTTTTCCTCGCTTTCCTTCGCTTTAAATAGCTTAAAAGCGCCGTGCACATTTTACTTTCACTTTCGAATTAGCGGCAGTTCTGCGTCAATTGCTTGAATGCAACAACAAAATACAATGTCAAACTCTCTTTAGCGTATATATAAAACATAAAACTTTTATTAACAAAACAAATAAAAATACACCATGCTATAGGGCAGGCTATGCCTAATATAAAATAATCAATAACTTACATAAAGTTTAAATAGGTATACAAAACTGGAAATAGGCTAAGTAAACATTTATAATATATAACCAAATAAATAAGAAACATAGAATGTTTATTAGCAAAACGAGTAAGAAAGCTTGGAGGCACAGCATACACCTTGATGTAAAAAATTAATTAATTAATTAAACACAGTTTAAATAACACTGGTAACACTGTGGAACCAATTAAATAAGAAACGAATGTTTAAAAAAACTTCCAAAATCACCTTAGATAAATGACAAAAATCAACAGGCTTTTCAAAATCCAAAATATTGCCAAAAAGGCGCTTTTGCATTTCGTTTCGAAACTAAATCATCTGTCATCGTCTTGTCTGTTTCACCTCACCTCACTCTTCTTGTCAGTCAGCTGGACTCGCTCTCCTCACTGGAGAAATGAAATGTGATCTGTGATGCGACTGTCGTTCGGCACGCTGCATTGAGCAGCCACGTTCAGTTTTTAATTGTAGTGTCTGTTCCTTTACTGAACTAAATGATTTTTATTACTATAAAAAAATCAAAACGATGGTGGGGTCGGTGACGCGGTGGGCAAGTGACGTAACCAGTGTTGCGGCTTAACACCGGTATCACCGTCAACACCGTCTAACGCGGCAAGCATACATTCTAGTGCACGTGTCAAGCACCTGTGTTCATGAAAATAAAATAATGTACTATTAAAGACTGTGTTCATTTGATGCTGATCGTTTGCGTCAAAACTAGGGCTGGGAAAATAAATTGATGCATCACGAATCGAGAAATGATTCGGCATCGATTCTGAGATTTTTCCGAATGCATCGCGATTCTTTCTCCAGTCGATTCTGAGCTTAGTTTTGAACAGCAGATGGTGCTGCGTGCTTTAGAAACAGCCGTACTCTGCTTGTTTCCAAATCCTTACACACACTTGAACCTAAAATAATCATTCATAAAATTCGAAAAGTTTGAAGCGAATTGCAAGGGGGCTGTGTTTAGCGTCATTAAAGCATTCTGAGCCGAGGTGAAATTACATGACTCAGCCGAACGCACTTCAGCACTCTTCAGTGCTCTTCTTCATGCGTGTGTGCATAAAAAGTAGATTAGAGCGCCATCTGCTGTTAAAATCTGAGCTCAGAATCGATTCCAGAGAGAATCGCGATGCATTTGGAAGATCTCAGAAACAATCCACGAATTGATTCTGCATCGATTTATCGTCGCAGCCCTAGTCAAAACGGAAGAATACTTTGGGTAGTTCTTGACTAAAGTAATCTCCAAAGTGGACCAGACTTTATGCTAACATTCAGATGTTTCTCTATGAGAGATTAACCAGTTTTTAAAATAAATTTTGAGAGAAACATTAGAGAAAGTTTAATTCCAGCACATTTTCTCTGGCACCAAACTGTTAATGAAATAGCATCCAATAGTTTAAGACCTCAGATTGTTATATACTACTTACCTCTTTATATTACTGACATCGCTTTAATATTCGCCCTTGTCTTTTTGTCTAATTAATTGTACTGGCTGTTGTGCTAGTGTTACTAATTATGCGTTTCTCTTTACAGTCCGGGAAAAACGAAAAAGTCTGTACGTCAACCATGTAAGTAGCAGCAGCCATGCCATCAATTGATTGTGTTTTCTGTTTCTCATAATGCTTGTGTCTGCAATAAAGACATCTCTTCACGTGACACAACACCCACAGAACTAATCAAATCCCACACTCAACCACATGAGAATGCAGAAACCAGTATTGCATGAGTCTCTGGGCTTGTGTTGCATCAGTAACAGCATTGCTTTTCTGATCAACTCTTTCCTTCTGTATAAATGTTTTAAAGGAATAATTCACCCTCCTTTGCTGAACATTTACCCTGAGGTCAACTAAGATGCTGATGAGTTCATTTCGTCAGAACAGTTTTAGAGAAAGCATTACATCACTTGCTCAGCAATTGATCCTGTGCAGTGAATGGGTGCCGTCAGAATGAGAGATGATAAACACATCGCAAAAATCCCCAAGTAATCCACGTAAAGCCAGTCCATCAATGAATGTCTTGTGAAAAGCTGCATGTTTGTACAAAACAAATCCATAATTAATTCATTTTTATTTTTTTTATTTCAGACTATTGCTTTCAGTTAAATTCCATAGTCCATAATCCATAATATTGCTTTATTCAGTAAAAAAAAGAGTCTGAATCAGGAGAGAAATATGCACAGATCAAGCACTGTTTACAAGCAAAAACAGTCCAAAACTGAAGTGAAAGGGTTAACAGGGGATGGATTTTGTCACTGGAAGAAGCACTATTATGGATAATGGACTTGTGTTTTGGCCAGAAGGGATGGTTGGAAGTTATGATGGAATTATTTCTTACAATCATGCAGCTTTTCACTTCACAAGACATTAATTGCTGGACTGGCGTTGTGTGGATTGCTTGTGGATTATTGTGATGTTTTTATCAGCTGTTGAGACTCTCATTCTGACGGCACCCATTCAATGCAGAGGATCCATTGTTGAAAAAAATGGGTACATTTTCAGCAAAGTGTTATTTTTTGGGTGAACCGTTCCTTTAATATGCATAACTTGATTTTTTTTATTTTTCCATTTCATTGGCGCATGCTATTCATACACAAAATGCAATGAATAGCTGATGTTTTGTTCCTGTTTTAATGTCTTTTATTACTTTGCAAGTTAACACACATTGCGGAGTCAAAGGTAAATATTTGCCCATTGCTGTATTTATTTGCTTAAACTTGTGATATTGTGTCTATTTTGACATTGTAATGATTTATTTGCATTATTAATGTTGCTTATCAGTTTGAAATCCTGTATAATACAATGACTGTGTTTATGTTGTACTGGATTGGGATTCTAACCCACACTAACGTGTATACACACACACACAGAGAAACACTCAGGTATAAATGAGATGATAATAGCTTCTCTGGGGCTTACAGGTGGCCTAATTCTCAGCCTGTTTGCTGAAAATCTGTGTGTGTTTAAGAATAACTGACATTTCATTTTGCACTCTGCTTGTCCTTGTGTTTCAGCAACATCCGTCTGGTCCAATGAGACGCAAGTACAGCTCCTGTTCGACAATCTTCCTGGACGACAGCACCGTCAGCCAACCCAACCTCAAATACACCATTAAATGGTACTTGAACCCTCAGCGTAAACTGATCGAAATGTGCATGATTGGTTTATGACGGATATCTAAATGTGGGTGTGGAAAGAGAATTTGGTTTTCAAAAGCATGGCTGGAGCCTTTGGAAATTGGGCCTAGCAACTTGTTACATTGTATCATTGATAAATAATAACCACTGAACAGATTCAGTGTGGAAGTGAGTCTATGATTTAAAAAAGTGACTTTTTTTTCTGAATAATTTGCCAGTCAGTTCCACTGATCACATTCATCTCAACACTTTATGAATTTAGGTATGTTAGGTAGTAAGCCAATAACTATTTTCATTTTATGGCTAATAACCAATAAATGGTCAATATAAAAATGCTATACAGTACTAATTGAATAAATACAATCTATATAATAATAATAATAATAATCACCATCATCGAACTAAAATGTTAAATCAGTGATTAGATGTCACCACATTACAGTACAGTATGATAAACTTGCTAAAGTTTTAACAATGTTAATAAACGATTAGTGTCGTTAAAGATGAGTGATGCATTAGATGACAGCAAAGGTCATTTTAATGTAAAAAATGAGCATGCATAATCACATATCCAATATTGGCCAATGCATATACGAAACGAACCAGAAAATATTGTGATAACTGATATGGTACAACATATGGATTTACAAAGAAATTTGTTCTTTGTAAATGAGGCCCCTTGTGGCATTAAATTCTGTTCATTTATACTGGAATAGTTTTGTGAATGATTTACAAAAATCCACCTATTTTTTGCCCGTTTCATCATACATACTGTAGTATGTTTTTTGATGCCATATAATTTACTGATCTACAGATTAATAAAAAAGAACAGCATATTCTTAAAGGGTTAGTTCACTCAAAAATAAAAATTCTGTAATTAATTACTCGCCCTCATGTTGTTCCAAATCCGTAAGACCTTCGTTCATCTTCAGAACACAATTTAAGATATTTTTGATGAAATCTGAGGGCTCTCTGACCCTCCCATAGACAGCAAGGTAACTACCACGTTCAAGGTCCAGAAAAGTATCAAGATGATCGACAAAGTAGTCACTACTGCGTCACTTTGGACGCACGTTCACGACAGTACCATGACACGAGCGTGTGGCGGCGCCGGTGCTGACCCAGATCCGGCGTGATGACGTCATTATGCGGATCTGGGTTAGCGCCGCCACACGCTCGCGTCATCATACTGTCGTGAACGTGCGTCCAAAGTGACGCAGTAGAGACGAAAATGTGGAATAAAGTCGTTATTTTTGTTTTCTTTGTGCAAAAAAAGTATTCTCGTAGCTTCGTAACTTTACAGTTGAACCTCTGATGTCACACGGACTACTTTGTCGATCATCTTGGTACTTTTCTGGACCTTGAACGTGGTAGTTACCTTGTTGTCTATGGGAGGGTCAGAGAGCCCTCAGATTTCATCAAAAATATCTTCAATTGTGTTCCGAAGATGACCGAAGGTCTTACGGGTTTCGAAACACCACGAGGGTGAGTAATCAATGACAGAATTTTCATTTTTGGGTGAACTAACCCTTTAAATGCTCATTGTACAGGTAGTGAGGACAACGCAAAAGCTGTGCAATACAAAAGATAATGCTATATACTACTTCCCCTTGTGCTTGAATTTAATGCTGCTTCATCTTGTTGACTACCGTTATATCAATTTATTTCTGCTATTTCTTCTGTTTGCAGTGTTGCCCTCGCAATATACTACCACATAAGGAACAGGTATGTTCAATTCTCTCATCAGATCAGGTGTTCTATCTATCTGTCTGTCTGTCTGTCTGTCTGTCTAAATACTTTTATATCCGTCTTTTTTCTGTCTCTGGCTTTGTCTTTTTTTTCCTCTTAAAGCTGTAATACCATATAAGCCCTTAATGCTTTATAACCTTCAAACTCTAAGGCTTCAGAGCTGTTGAAATATAACTTTTACACAAGGTTTTAGTAACACTGAAAATGTATCACAACACTCTTTCCTAGTTCTTTAATTCTTTATATGAATACAGCTTAGAATAAGTACCAGTCTTCCCTAATCTAATTTCAGTTCACCCTTCTCCTTTCAGAAATGCGGACGGGCGGATGCTGTTAGACATTTTTGATGAAAAACTTCATCCACTTTCAGTAAGTGTTTCATTTCTGCAGCTCATTTCTAAGATGTTTAATTACATCCTGAACAAGCCAGAATGTTCTAAAACTTCCTCTTTCCACAGAAATTGGAGATGCCGTCAGACTATGACAAGCACGACCCAGAACAGAAACAGATCTACAAATTCGTCCGTACACTCTTCAGTGCCGCCCAGCTCACGGCTGAGTGTGCCATAGTTACTCTGGTGAGTGAAAGGTCATGTGACTTGATCGCGGACCAATAAAAATTAGTCCGTGTCTATTTGGATTGGCTGATAGCACAAGTTAAAATAGGGTTTACCATCAGTGAAGTGGATTTACCATCACTCAGGTGAAAATGGTTGTCATGTTTAGTGCTTTATTAGTGGGTGCTAAGCCCAGCAGCTGTCTGAGTGTGACTGTTCCTCCTCTATGATGAAATCCTTCTTTTGAAGACCCAACCCTTCTCACTTTTCCAACCAAATACCTTCATGAGGTGTCATTAAACAAGTTCTAGACATACAAGGGGCTGTGAATGCTTGAGATGGGCTTAAGGGAAAGTGTGTGTGTGCGTGCGTATGTGTTTAAAAGAGTTATAATCTATACTGATGGTCCAATGGAAGTGTGATCTCTACCTCAGGTAGAGAAAAAAAAATGGCGAGTGTCCACTATTATTATATGTAAAACCTTTATCATAAATTGTTGCATTATTATTATTATTATTATTGTAGTAGTACCAATGATTTCAGATGTACTCACACCTAAACACATTAAACATAAAATGCTAACTGTGGTAAATTACTTCACATATCAGTCAGACAGTCTCTTCCTAGATGATTCATGGCCAGAAAAACTGCAAAGTGGACCAGACTTAATACCTATAGTCAAAAGTCTGAAACTAATAAAAACTGAGTGCAGCTTCAACATAGATATTTTGTTGGAGATCAGAATCTTTGTGTCTATGAACTGATAGACTTCTCAGATAGACAGATCGTGTGCGTTTCTTTGTTTCTAAGTATAGATTGAGACAGATCGAGCCTGTTCCTTGACCTGTAGGGGGCAACAGGTGCAGAGATGTTGGTAAAATCGGATTGGCTGTTGCTGGTGTTAACACTTTTTAATTAAAGCTAAATATTTTGTATTACTTGAAATAAAAATAAAATATGCATTATACATACAATTTTAAATAATGTTACCTTGGCAACAAACTAAAATAAAATTAATTTATTAAAACTGAAATGAAGCTAACCAGAAATATATATTTAAAAAATATATTAATAATAAAAATGACAAACACACACACACACACACACAAAAAAAATGGAAAATATTCCAAATGTGAATAAAAACTATAATAGTATATAATTAATACTTAAATGACACTACAGGAAGCACTGCTTTATGGTAGTTTGCCCTCTTAAAATGTTTATTATGACTCAACCGAATAAAAACTGAATTATGTTTTCAAAGCTCTACCCAGGTTAGTGTTTTCTATGAAGGTGCTGACCGCTGTCCCTGGAGTGTTTCCGTAGGTTGTTGTTTTATAAATTGTAGGTGTATAATTTGCCCATTTGCTGACACTAGTTCATCTTGAACAGCGTAGAGGAGATTAGCTCAGAAAAACACACAAGCATATTCTCATAAGCACATATTTAATGCACAACTGCCCACGGGAGGAGCCCGTCGATGCAATGGAACCAATTAAACGTGCGACTTATGTCTTACACTTTCTACAAACAATTATTAGATTTATTTCTCACTGTGGGAAAACTTATATTATTTGACATTGTTGTCCTCTATTTAGTGTGTATGTGCGTTTGTGCTGCTTAGTGCTTCTACGTCTTTTTTGCATTGCATACATTAGTTTTTCATTTCATGAGGACATCTTTGTTCGCCTACATCCATCAGCAGTGTTTATGAATGCTAAAGACGCCCGTGGCTACAGCATACTCTCATACACCACGTCAACAGAGAACAGACTTACGATTCAACCACTCAAGAATTAATGTTTACGACGTTCCTTTAGAAGTACACAAAGAAGTATTATTAGAGTTACTTAGGAAACCATCACTATTGCTAGTGATCATACTTATTATTTGCCACTAAACATAGCAATAGCCTTTGACATTTTATTTGTCCAACAGACCGGAAGATTATATTGAATCATGTGGCATGTTAAAAAGAGGTATGCCGTTTTTTGCTTTCAACAGACTTCAAGTGGATAAAACAGAAATGAGGGCTCGGGCATCTACCTGTTCTCCTTCAAAATTCCTGTGGTGTTGAACAGTATGTTTCGACCGTGTACAGTCTCATAACAGAGAACGTTTAAACAGGCATGGAACATTTATGAGTGCCTCAGGAAGCAGTTTGATCAGAATCTATTTTTCTCTCATCTGTATGGTATAAAATTGCAATGCCTAAATGTTTAGAGAAATAATGTATCCGTGTGATTTAGGAGTCAATGGTACAGTGCTTTTTTGATCATTTAGTGTGTATTTCTGCCACCTTTTTAAAAAAATCATGAAATATAGCAAAATTCCAGACCTTCCTATCTTTAAGATTTGCCAAAATTGCTTAATGAGGGAATTGGTCTTATTTTCAAGTACTGAAATATTTACCATAGTACTGAATGGTCATTTTAAGTATAATCAATCAGTGCTTCCACATGCATTTGTATAGCGCTTTTCACAATATTGATGGTTTCAAAACAGCTTTACAGAAAATGCATGTTGCAATATTACAATTGCAATGATTCTTATGAACCGGAATCTTACATTTAATCTCATTGAGGCCCAGTGAGCAGTCCAGGTGACCGTGTCAAGGTGGTGAGGTGTTGGAGAAAAAATCTTGAAGAGAACCAGACCTAATCCAATTTGTTGTTCATATTTCCAAGGGGCAGCATATACAGTATATTGAAAACAGCAGGGGGCTTAACACAGATCCGTGTGGCACCCCATACTTACCAATGTTAGATTTGCTAGTTCCACATTTAAACAAACAACTTAGTAATGGTCAATTCTAAACCAGCTTAAGGCAAAGCAAATTTCTAATCAGTGTAAGAGTATGTCATGATCTATAGCAGGGGGGCGGACGTCGGTCCTGGAGAGCCGCAGCCCTGCAGAGGTTTGCTTCAACCCTAATCAAACACACCTGAACAAGCTAATCAAGGTCTGAACAGTTACTAGGAAGCTACAGGCAGGTGAGTTTTAATTAGGGTTGGAGCTGAACTCTGCAGGGCTGCGGCTCTCCAGGACCGGAGTTCGCCACCCCTGATCTATAGTTTCAAAAGCAGCACTAAGATCTAGTAAAACTGGAGTGAAATGCAGTCTTGGTCATATACCAGAAGCAAGTCATTTGTAATTCTAAATGCAGTCTCTGTTCTATGATGGGCCCTGAAACCTGACTGAAATGCTTCGTAAACTTTAAAAAAAACATTGGAGTGCAATGCAAATATAAAGGATTCGTGGTACATGTCAGAAAAAAAAAATTACTTTTCTATTATTGCTGTTAAAACTGAATGGTGTTCGTTTGCAGTTTATTACCAGTGAGGCATCAGGTGTTTTTGCTAGTTGACTGAGCAGATGTGTTTGTCTCCCGTCATTCATGCCCCCTAACCTGTGTGACAGTCTTGCACAATAATCGCATATTTGCAGTGATGCTGCAGTAACCTTGCTCCAAAAACAGAAATGCAAGGTTCAGTCACCAGAATCTTTACAGTTGACTTGATTGTCAAGATGCTTTATATCGATATTGAACGACACCCATTGGACAAATCTCATTTATGTTCAATTTATGATAAAAAAATGTATGCATTCTCTCTCTCTCTCTCAGGTGTATCTGGAGAGATTATTAACATATGCAGAGATTGACATCTGTCCTGCTAACTGGAAGAGGATTGTTTTGGGTGCCATCCTGTTGGCGTCAAAAGTGTGGGATGATCAGGCCGTATGGAATGTTGACTACTGCCAGATCCTCAAAGACATCACCGTGGAAGACATGTAAGTGTGTGTCTCTTGCACCTCCGAATTCAAGATAACATGACAACACTCTGAGCTGCAAGTAATTTAATATGTAGGAAAAAAGGCTACAACAGCGTTGTCGGTTTCAACAACTTCCATTTGTATTATTGATCATTTGCACCAGTTCCCAGGAAGCAACAAGTATCTTGAACACCATTCTCATGAACACGTGATGAAAACAGTGCTTTACTTGTAAATGTTTCATGCAATATTCAAATTTTTCATACAAGCTAAATTTGCAACTGTGAATGGAAACATAGCTTCGATGCTCAGTCTTCAAACATTTCTAAGATATATGCTGACTTGAAGTTAATGTAAAACTCTATCCACAACTCATTTTTCTTTTATGATAAAATGGATTTCTGAATGAAGCAGGATAATCACTAACAAATAAGGACCATGTTTTAATTGTATGTAGGGTCTGTTTTAATTTTATGTTGAACAGAGGTTAGTGCCCTCCACAAATCAAGAATTGTGCTATTACTTTAACCATTGGTGGCTTTTTTATTAGTGTTCTCAAAGCACAACGCAAAACAGCATAGAGGACCACAGAGTGTGGGTTTGTGGTTGTTGGTTGCTTTTTTGTTGTCAGAGACTTCACTGTTATATTTAGCTGGCGGGTTTCTGCATGTGTTGGAATAATTATGCGGTTCCTAGGAAGGGGTGACAATAGATTGTTTATTTTGAACTTTCAGAAGTTTCATTGGTGGTAAGAAGTTTGTGGATAAATAAAGGAAGATTTTTAATATGAACAGATGATCAGGGCTTGTCGTTTGGTTTTCTTGTCAGGATTGTAGTTTTAAACATGCTAAATCAGAATTTCTTTGAATAGCTTAACTGTCAAGATTTTCTTTTCAGTTATTTCCGCCCACTGACAAATGTCAAAAGGAACATGCACAAAGCTAATTATTTTTGCTTTCTCTCTCCCACCAGGAATGAGTTGGAGCGACAGTTTCTGGAGCTGCTGCAGTTCAATATTAATGTTCCATCAAGCGTGTATGCCAAGTACTATTTTGACTTGCGTTCACTTTCTGAGGCGAACAACCTCAGCTTTCCCCTGGAGCCTCTCAGCAGAGACAAGGCCCAGAAGCTCGAGGTGAGTGGTCAATACTACTCTAGATCATTAGCACACATTATATAGCTCAAGATATTTATCTCAGATTGTCAATCAAGATCTCATTCACATCTCAGTGTGCTGTGGTTTCTAGGTTTTCATGAAAAGTTCAATATCTTGGCAGATTGCAGTACTGAATCTGTTGTTCCAGCAAGTTATAAGGAATATGGCAGTAAAACTTGAAAGCTTGATTTGGTACAGCTCTCACTAAGAAGGAATATTGTGACATGTTGTATTGGTCCATTGGTTCAGTAGCAGCAGGGCCGAGTAATTACCTTGCCTGAATCCCCATGTGTGTCTTACGCCAGCATTCAGCCTCCATGCTGCCCAATTACAGTCCTGACAAGACCAGGCCTATAATGATGTTAGTTAGTTCAGTTGTATTTGTGTGTGTGTGTGTGTGTGTGTGTATGTGCACAGTTGCCTTTGGTGGTGTAATAGCTCACCAGCCCATTTAGAGTCAGTGGCCTGTGGGTGGACAGCTCAATCAGTCAGTGGTTTATGATCCAGTTCTTTCATAAGGACCAGCCCCCTGCTTCCATCTTGCACTGGTCCTCTTTATACGCTCCCACACACAATCATTTGTCATCTCAAAATAATGGACACAAGTTGTATCTTGTCTCAAGAATGAAACGTTTTACCACTTATTTTTGGAGGTGGTGGGACTTGTAAATTTAATTCTTGCATCAGAAAGTACAAGTTTATCCAATACTCTTTCTGTGACACTTTCAGTTGTATTAAATGTGAATCTAGCTAATTCTGTATCTACTCAATGACATTATTAACTCTTATAAATCAGCAGATGACTTATGAGTTAATAATATAAGTTTAATAATAATAATAATAATGTAGAAAAAGAAAAGGGCCAAGAACAGAACCCTGGGGAACACCTTAAGTAAGGGGAGCATGTGTGTTGGAGCAGGGTTGGAACAAAACTCTGCAGGGCTCCGGCCCTTCAGGAATTGAGTTTGACTCCCCAGATATAGAGTATTAAAATTTATATTATAAGTAATATTATTGGGGGGGGGGGGGGGGGGGGGGGGGTTCATAGGCTGAAATATGCTACTTACTGAAACTAACAGGTTTTAGATTTAAACATATTTAGCAATTAAAAAAAAAAAAAAAAAATTCACACAATTTCAATGTCTGTCTCCCCTTCTCATGTTTTTCACAGGCGATCTCCAGGCTTTGTGACGACAAATATAAAGACTTGAGAAAAGCAGCCAAGAAGCGCTCAGTGAGCGCAGATAACCTGAAAGTGGTCAGATGGTCGCCGGCCATCATATCCTAATAATGGTGGACATTGGGGACTTTCACGAGAGACTGAGAGAAAGAGACTGTCAGAAGAAGCGTTCTCTGAGAGGACATATGTGCTTAGTACCTCCACGAGACTCTTGAGCCAGAGCGTGTCAGAAGAGAGTTCTTGCTGGTCGTACTGCTGCTGTATATACAAGACACCCACTCAAAGATCACTTTCCAACCTGTGGCTTAGAGGAAGGAGAGGAGGACACTGCTACTGCAGTTCAGAAAAACTGGAGGATGCGAATGAAAGGATATAAACGAGGGAGAAAGACACCCAATGACTGGAACAGCATTCCAACAGCTCTGTGTTTTACATGTTTGCCATTCTAGGTGAGGAAGTATTCGTACTGTGTTTATTGATCTTGTATGGTTAGAAAAAATTCCACCTGGACGCTCAAGGATGTGTTGTATCAAGATCAAGAGCCAAAATCAACTATATTCCCTAGATATTCCTCCATTCCTTAAAGTATTTCTCTCCAAATGGCTGTGAGCTGATTAAACTATAAAATTACCACTGTTCTTACAAACTGTTATTTAATAGTTTAGCTCATTAAGATTTATTTTAAATTAAAAGAAATTCTTAATGACGGTTTATTGATCTAAAATTAGTCTAACAATGCAAATGAATGGGAAAATATACAATTTGGACCTCTCGGTTTAGTCGGATTATTTTATTGTGTCGTTTTTTTTGTTTTGTTTTTAATACTCGATGAAGGCAGTTTGCACCATTTAGTCTTATTATCTAAGAGTAATGGAAGTTGACTTTGTATTTCCAAAAGGAATGTGGTGTGGAGGGTTTCCATATGAAGTCCCTGGGACTTTCCCTTTGAAACACAATATTCGATAAGCCTTGAAAGAGTTAGTTTCAACTGAAAATGTACAATGCCGAAATGGACTGAAATTGGAAGTTTTAATACTGAAATCAGAGGGTTTTCTTCTGCAGAGCCAACAGTGACATTCCATCATCAAGGACTATGAATGTGTATAACCTTCATATTCTTGTCGCCATTTTTTTTTTTATAACCTCAACAAATGCCAGATATACACATGCTGTGTCACTCATTTCCAATTCTCAAAGCAATACACTGTGCTCTATTCCATACAATACCTGCTGGGAAAATTGAAGTGAATATTTGAAAGGCTCCTATAGCGAACATTCAGATGACATTGAGTCCAATTTTTTTTGTTGCAATTGGTGTCTTGAAGTCAAAACACAGAGGTGAGGCTCTTAGTGCCACTGTGATACAGTGTTTTGCATTGTTTTATTTCTCAATTACAATGCATCAAACCAGAGACTGAATTGAATTGGTGAGGAAGAGGAATTCCTGCTGTATCCACTGCCATCACCTGCGGTGCCTGCATTTAGCGGGAAAATGGCCTTAGATGTAGAAGAGTGATGGGCGAACTGGGCCCTTCCAGGCCACGTTCCTGCAGAGATTTGATCCAACCCTGATACGACTCACCTGCCTGTAGCCTTCTAGTAGTCCTGAAGACAATGATTAGCTGGTTCAGGTGTGTTTGATTAGGGTTGGAGCTAAACTCTGAAGGAAAGTGGCCTGGAAGGGCCAAGTTTGCCCACCCCTGATGTAACCATTTTATCTTCCCTTCTCATTAAGACTGCAAAATATGATTTTAGACTGCAAAGTTCGTTTTAAAATCAGTTCTTCCCAATTTAAAAGTTAAGCTTTTAATTATGTCATCAGATGTATGTGATAATGATTCGTTATCTGTGACCCTGGAGCACAAAAGCAGTCTTAAGTCGCTGGGGTATATTTGTAGCAATAGCCAACAATACATTGTATGGGTCAAAATTATAGATTTTTCTTTCATGCCAAAAATCATTAGGATATTAAGTAAAGATCATGTTCCATGAAGATATTTTTTTTAATTCCTACTGTAGATATATTAAAACTTAAGTTTTGATTAGTAATATGCATTGCTTAGAACTTCATTTGGACCATTTTAAAGGCGATTTTCTCAATATTTAGATTTTTTTTGCACCCTCAGATTCCAGATTTCCAAATAGTTGTATCTCGGTCAAATATTGTCATGTCCTAACAAACCATACATCAATGGAAAGCTCATTTATCCAGCTTTCAGATGATGTATAAATCTCAATTTCAGAAAAATTGACCCTTACGACTGGTTTTGTGGTCCAGGGTCACATATCAGTTCTTCCCAATTTAAAAGTTAAGCTTTTAATTATGTCATCAGATGTATGTGATAATGATTCGTTATCTGTGACCCTGGAGCACAAAAGCAGTCTTAAGTCGCTGGGGTATATTTGTAGCAATAGCCAACAATACATTGTATGGGTCAAAATTATAGATTTTTCTTTCATGCCAAAAATCATTAGGATATTAAGTAAAGATCATGTTCCATGAAGATATTTTTTTTAATTCCTACTGTAGATATATTAAAACTTAAGTTTTGATTAGTAATATGCATTGCTTAGAACTTCATTTGGACCATTTTAAAGGCGATTTTCTCAATATTTAGATTTTTTTTGCACCCTCAGATTCCAGATTTCCAAATAGTTGTATCTCGGTCAAATATTGTCATGTCCTAACAAACCATACATCAATGGAAAGCTCATTTATCCAGCTTTCAGATGATGTATAAATCTCAATTTCGAAAAATTGACCCTTATGACTGCTTTTGTGGTCCAGGGTCACATATTATCTGTTAAGAGTGACTTTTTCATTCGTGACACTTCATTCAGAAACACCTTGAGAATTAGAACCTCCAAAAATATATTTTGTATATTGTACATACTTAAACATACTTAAATAAATTTAATTATGATCTTCCAATATTTATATGTGACTGGTATTTACTTTTGTTAATTCCTAAATTATGGATAACAATTTGAAAAATATAAATATGTCAGTTGTTTTATCAGGAATCCAAAAGTTTATAAGCGCCTGTCATCGAGTTTGTTTTTCTTCTTCTTTAGTCGTAATCTTCTGTCCTCAATTGAATTTCCTGTTGAGTTGAACCTTTTTTTCTGCATGAAGAAATTGAACATTGTTATGTTGACATGAATGTAATTCTGCAATAGCTTTGTTTTTCTTCTTTTTCATTTTAGCAGCAATGAAATCGCTATTTTCCTTAGTCCTTACTACAGATGACGTCAAAATGGCCATTATTTTCAAGCAGTATGTTTATTCTGGCATTAATTATAATCCATTTTTTTCTAGGTTGTTGTATCTCCAATGCCCAAAAAAGTCTTAACACTTTTACTTAAAATTGTTTAATCTAAATATAGTGCACACTTTGTGTCTTTTGTGTGCAATACAGTAAGTAGGCTATGTGATGCTAATATATCCGACTGGACATACAGAGGTTATACATGTTATGCAAAATCAAAAGAAAAAAAAAATTGAAATAATATTTTACATGAAGAAAATTAAGCCTATTTTAGGACCATACGATTTTATTGTTTTGAAAAAAGTGGGCTTAATTATCTTATTCATACAATATATATGCACTTTTTTTTTTTTTTTTTTTGTGGTGAAATATGACCCAGACATGTTCTTAAAAGGTTTCGTGAGAATCACTCCGCGAGTGTTTAGATTACTTTTTGTCAGAGACATGATACTAGACAAAACGTGTAACTAAGTCAGTGAACCCAGACGCTTGTTTTGTGTTATTTCCTGAAGATAAATGGAATATTGACCAAAGTTCTTCTCAAGGAAGGTCTGTTCTTTGCAAATGGCAGCGCTTTAGACACCCTTTGCACATTTTAAGAGTGTTGGAAACGGTTTGAAATCAGGGAAAACATTCAAGAAAAGTGTCTTTGGGGAGACAAACGGAATCATGAATCGAAAGACTGATAAAAAAGCATTTGAAGATTGTATTATTCTATTTATTTTCTGTGAGCATGTGGCCCAGCGTTGGATCTGAAGACGGTGTTATAAACTCAAGTCCTGGTGGTAGGAGGCAGTAGGCAGGCGAGTGGCGAGTGGCGAGTTTTAGACATGTGCACTGAACTCTACCTCTGCATAGAGTCTTTGTTTCTTATTTAATACCTCTCTCTTGCTCTGTCTTTCTCTGTAATCTTTCTCAATTGCATTGCAATTTCTAGGAAATTACAAATTCAAATCTTTCATAACATTTATACTATAAGTGGTTTCCTGTGAAAAAAGAAAGAAAACTGCTGTAGTTGTGACTATGTTTGGTGACTGGTTATATGCCTGTTATTATGAATAATACATTGTTGTTGTCATTTGTTTCGGTTCCAAAGGTCAAACCGTTCTTCAGTATCTGTTTTCAATCTGTGCCGAAGGCTGAATCCTATCTCCTCTGTATGATCTTATTTGATTCTACTTTCAGTTTAACTAAGTGAACCCAGTCGCCTAGGAGCTGGAGGCTACAATGGTTGCATGCAGTTTTGTTTTTTTTTGTTCTCGAACAACGATTTTAACTGATGCTCCCAGTTCACAAGCAATGTTTAGAAACCGCCACAAGAATAAACTTTTAAAAGTTGCAATAAAAAGCGATTTGATGTGTTCCCATCACATGATATAAGATGTATAGAGAGGACTGGAGCATATATGTATTTTTTTATTTTTTCCCCAGTGTAGGTTATCTTTTAAAAGTTGACACTTTGTAAATCACCTTAGATTAATGTAAAAACAGAAAACCTCTATTGAAGCTTATCAGAGACTAAAAAGTATAAAATGTGAAATTGAATAGATCCCATCTATTTTTATTCTTATTTCTATTTTCTTGGGGGGTCAATTTGACCCACATATTTTATTTTTCAAAATTAGCTGCACAAACACACAGCAATAAATAAATGTAAAAAAAAAAAAAATTTAAATAAATAAATTGACTACTTGTGGTGACTATTTGCACTTATTTGCAATAATATCTAATATAATATATACTTCGTATAGTATTTATTGCTATTTGTACATCATGTCCCTCCTTTTCTCAAACCTGTGTGTGGGTAAAATGGATTTATCGCACTTCTTTTCAGCACTGCCACAGACTATTAAGTGAGATTAAAAAAACAAAAAAAAAAACAACCTTTGACAGATGTTACAGAAAAACGGTCAACTTTCCTAGGGTGATTCAGAAAATGAGCCTCAATTTTGAGTAAACTTTTAGTTTTAAATTTCAGAAGTTCTTTTCGTATTTTAGTGTTTGACAAGTTACAGTAAAGGTTTTCTGCTTTTTACCTGACTTGTGTTTTTCAAAGTGACGATTTTTGGCAAATTGCATGGAAAACAGTGGGGATTGATGTAGATTAGAGGTCATAATTCACCATAATTGTCAGTCCAATTTCAACTAGAAACCACTGATAGAGAAAAAAAAAACACATTTGCGCACTTTGGACCCTTGAGACAACTAACGTCGGTTTCATAAGTATTGTTAGAAGAAGCACCATTCAAGTCTTTTTTTATGAATAGTATTCCATAAATACTGGGTACAGTATAAAATCAAATGTACTGTTCATTGCTTGTAGATATGGAATGTTGGAGCTAGAAAGTTTTGATGCATTTTCTTTAAAACCCGTCAAATACAGCCATAAACTGCATTGCACATCATTTTATATTTACATTATATTACATTTATACATTTAGCAGACGCTTTTATCCAAAGCGACTTACAAATGAGCACAATGGAAGCAATCAAAATAAACAAAAGAGCAATGACATGCAAGTGCTATGAGTCTCAGTTAGCTTAATGCAGTACACGTAGCAAGGTTTTTTTATTTTTTTATCATATAATAAAAAGAAAACAGATAGAATAGAAAAAGAATAGAGCAAGCTAGTGTTTGAGGCCTTTTTTTGCTTTTGTTAATCAGAAGTCAGAATTATAATTGTATAATAAATAAAAAGAAAACAGATAGAATAGAAAAAGAATAGAGCAAGCTAGTGTTTGAGGCCTTTTTTTGCTTTTGTTAATCAGAAGTCAGAATTATAATTGTATAATAAATAAAAAGAAAACAAATAGAATGCAAAAAGATTAGAGAAGCAAGTGTTAGGTTTTTTTTTTTAAGAAATCAAGCAGTTAGTAAATAGAGTGCAAGTCTAAAAGGGGCAAGTTTTTTTTTAAATATATATATAAAGAATAGAATTAGAATAGAGAGTGCTAGAGTTGAAGGGACAAATAAAGATGGAAGAGATGTGTTTTTAGCCGATTCTTGAAGATGGCTAAGGACTCAGCTGCTCGGACTGAGTTGGGCAGGTCATTCCACCAGGAGGGAACAGTTAATTTAAAAGTCTGATAAAGTGATTTTGTGCCTCTTTGGGATGGCACAATAAAGCGCCGTTCACTTGCAGAGGGCACATAAGTCTGAATTTAGGTAAAGGGGTGCAGAGCCAGTGGTGGTTTTGTAGGCAAACATTAATGCCTTGAATTTTATGCGAGCAGCTATTGGTAGCCAGTGCAAACTGATAAACAGAGGTGTGATGTGAATTATTTTCGGCTCGTTAAAAATTAATATTGCTGCCGCATTCTGGATTAATTGTAAAGGTTTGA